CTTCCCCTAGCAACTTTCTTATGCATATGTATGTATGTATGTATGTATGTATGTATGTATGTATGTATGTATGTGTGCGTATGTATGTGTGTATGCGAATTTCTCCATTGTGAGGCAAATACAGTAAAGGTTTTCTTGTGTGTGTGTGTGTGTGTGTGTGCGTGTGTGTGTGTGTGTGTGTGTGTGTGTGTGTGTGTGTGTGTGTGTAAAACTCTGAATACACTTCACAGGCCCTTTAAGATTCAAAAAAAGCTTACATTATAAAAGTGGTGCATTGAGATAGAAATGGAAATAGTTCCTTGACCAAGCTTGTAACTCTAATCATCTTTGGAAATGTCATGAATCCATTCCAGCTGCTCAAAAGAAACAACAAAAATGTCTTTGTACTGATAAAAATAGCACTTTATAATGTTATGCTCCAATTAATTAATATTTCTTCGGTGGATAGACCTGTTCATGACTTGCCAAACTGCACGGTCCTAATAATATGGGGTATTGCTTCATGTTATTGCGTTACTTTTCTGGTACTGCTATACAATGCAACCAACCAAGAAGAAAGTATGAAATGTGATTGTATAATCCAGCAGGGGAAATATAATTATGTTTCATGTTTGATTTTGAAAAATAACACTGATCTGTATCCAAAAATAAACCAAAATGACATAAAGACATAATTTTCTCGATCTTTTTTTTTTTTTTTCATATGTTCCAGTTTTTCGGTTACACAATATGTGCTATTGGTTTTTTGTTTTGTTATGTTTTTAATGCATTTATTTAATTATTTTCTGGGCTGTTTTGCTATGCTACTTTAGCAACGAACGGGCTTGGCCACGCAGTTAAAAGGGAACACTGCGCACTGCTAACTTTTAATGGTCCAAGAACATTACGTGAACTGTCAAGGGATTCATAGAACATAGTGTATCTATTAGGCCACTCCTAAGAGGAGATTTCACCTCACTTTGCTGCAAGGATAATTGGAGCATATAGTGTTCCATTAGCCTGCCACGCATGTTTTTGGAATGTGGGAGAAAACCGAAGTACCCGGAGAAAACCCGCAGCCATGGGAAGAACAGGCAAATCTGCCGGAGGCAGGAATCGAACCCTGCACCCCTGCACGGTGATATCTATCTATCTATCTATCTATCTATCTATCTATCTATCTATCTATCTATCTATCTATCTATCTATCTATCTATCTATCTATTCCAATTTGACAGCTGCATTCTACCACATTAGCATGTTGATTTGAATTTGAGTAATTGTTCGTCCGCAGTCTCCTGCGTCAATGCTTGCACGTACTGTAGCTCAAATTTCTGAGAATACCATTTGCCCTTCTCCCTATGACTTGATGTTCGCATAATACTGAGAAACGATGGAAATCTTCGGCTTTTCGTGACCACTCAGCCTCTCTTTCCATCAGCCCGAGTCGCCTTTTTAAAACTCCTTAATTACATCTGCTAATTATTTGCAGGGGAGGTACAGAAGCATACGAACGCGCTCGCCTGTGCTCGGAAGGCAACACAAACACGGAAGGGGATCAGGATCATCAGCATGTGTGATGAGCTCACACAGATAACGTGGCCACAACACTTCCATGACATTGTGGCTGTGTTACCTCATTACCGCAATGTCACAGCAGCAGTGTGGGGATGTTGTGTTTGGGCAAGTGGAGGGGGCCAATGGGGGCATAATAAAGGCGGCGTTCAAGGGGGTTGGGGGTCCGCTGCAGGTATCGGGCCTCTGCAGAAGAGTTGATTAATTAAAAGGAGCTCAATTAAGGTTACTGAGCTGATCCCCTCCCCACCCCTCGATTTGCTCATTGGATAAAAGTGGAAAGAGCAGAGGGGGGTTCAAGGGAGGGGAAGCATCCTTGCTTCTTTTGACATTAACACGCCTGCACTCGCTTTACACACACACACACACACACACACACACACACACACACACACACACAGTGTTGACTCAGTGCAGTACACCCCACCTTGGCAGAGTGACAGTCTTCAGGGTCTCAAAAAGGGCCCACAGTGTTTTAATCCCTGCAGCCCATCAAGCCACCCACCCACACTTCCATCTGTCAGGGTGGAAGCGTTTGGGGGAAGGGGCACACGGGTACATCTCGTTCCATCCCGGCGGATTTTGTAATTTCCTTTGCCTCCTCACGTTTGCCAAAATTCACACCCCTAAATGAGCCACTGTGGCCTCGAGTCACTGAAAGCCTACTCACCTTTTTTGGGGGGAGGGGGACAAAATACTATGTGTCAGTACCATGATACATCTGGACCCACTTTCAAAGTAAAAGTGTCCAATTGTTCCAGATTTACTCGACGTCTGCTTTCCCAAGAACTTCAAGTTTGATATTTTTGTTCCTTTAGTTTTCATTTAACATGTCAAAAAGACAACAGTGTACTGAAGTCTTGTGTTGTAAGGTCTAAACCTTAAGATCGTCTTAACGTTTACTCGATTAAACACTTCATTCCAAATGTTTTTTTTAAACTGGCCAAAATTTTAATAGAGAATTGACTGTGTATTTTTTAGCTGGGAATGAAGCAAGAATTAACAAAAGACTGAAAATTGCAGTGAAAAGTATTTCAAATATTGTTTGACATGTCGATAAAGTTCCATGAGTGTTTTGTTACAATTACAAAAAAGTACTGTAAGGACATTTTAAATGTTATGGACGGATGAATGTTTTGAAGTCCAGTTTAAACTTACTTTTTTCATGCTGACATTTGAGCTCCCTAAAATATTTTTGAAATCATTTTTCATCTTATCTTAGTATCTTAGTAATGTTAGTAAACTGTCTTATTTTTGTACTTTTTTTTTTGGGGGGGGGGGTCTTTAATACAGTTTTTAAAGGTTTTCCTGCTTTGCCATGTCTAGAATGTTCAATTATTCTTAGTGACCGGGATCTTAAAGAATGGTTGAAATAGTCACAGATATGAATCATTTTAAAATTACAATGGATATTAAAAGCTCATATCTAATGCTATGTTTTTGATTCATAAAAATGTGGTTGCACAAGTATGCATAGAGGGTGTGGCTTTGTTCAGAATTAACATTCAAACTCATGTTAAATGGGAGTCAGGACACACCTGTCACCATTTAAAGTGCCCTCGATGAACACTCCATTAAGTTCTGTTGTTCTAGTCGGCTTTTCCTGACATTTTTTGTTGTCCCATTTTACAGCTCAAGCCATGGTTTGCAGGTTATATGCCATCTTAATGGTAGACAGTTTAAAAATGATTTATCTTGGCCTCATTTTTTTAATATTACAAAAACCTGGCATTTGAGCCTGGGTGTGTAGACTTTTTATATCCGCTGCACATTTGAAAAAGGAAAATCATTTGGGGTATATGAAACACAAAATGTGGATGCTTTTCATTGAGTTGTAGTGATATACATTGAGATGAGAGATTAAAGCATAATCACTTTTTTTCCTGGATTTTTATGAATAAGACGGGACGGCGTATTTCTTGGCCATTTATTTATTTTTAATACAAAAAAAAAAAAAAGCTGATTCATTTGTGAGACAATGCACAGCATCACAGTTTGCCATTATACAATGTCAAAAATACAGGAAGTACATTTCAGCATCATCTCCAAGAAATGAATTCAGCAACCTCAAACAAGAATGACTCATACCAGTGAGAAAACCCCAGCTTTCGCAATTACAATAAAGTCTTCAGAATCTTAATATTTCATGGTTTGCTCTCTCCGAACAAAACAGTGAGGAGAAAAGAACCCATTGAACTTTGATAAATGTTTTACAGCCGTCGTTTCTTGTGTGCAATACAAACAAATAGCAGCTTGTTTTTTTGAACACAGGCTTAAAAAAAAAAAAGAAAAAAACAAGGCCCCATTACTGGCACTCATTCACTTCCAAGATGCAAATGGATGGATTTGAAATTCAGCCTCTGTGTGTTCTGCTTGGCTACTTTAATGTTGTATCTATGCGAGGGATTATTCTCTCTACGGCGGAAAAAAACCTGTGCTTGAATGGAAGCGCCCTCAAAGTAGCTCTGGCTGCTTTCAACGGCCTCCAAACAAGATTAGAGCCATGGTGCCCTCCAGTCCCAATCCTCTGCATTCACACGGAGCAGAACCAGCCTGTGTGACAGTCTTTCTGTTTTGACACCGAGTGGGAGCTGTGTTTGAAATTGAGAGGTCACCGCGTCAGAAGGAAAATCCCCATCGCCCGCCACAGTGTTGGGATATCGTTTCATTCAGGATCTGCGTAATTGGGTAAATGTCGCTTCGTTGATAAAACCATTATATTGAGTTTTTATGGAACAAAAGTGTCATTGTTCAAGATTTTGGCATACAGTCCCCTTCCAAAGTATTGGAACAGCAAGGTCACTTCCTTTAGTTTTTGTTGTATTCGAAAGACATTTGGGTTTCAGCTTTTATTTCATTGACATGAAGATGTGTTAAACAACTCAGGACAGAGCACCTTTTGTTGCAAGCCAACCACTTCTCAAGTGAGCAAAAGTATTGAAGCATGTGACTAATGAGTGTTGCGAGTTGCTCAGGTGTTGCCTTTACGAATGATTGCTTCAACAACAGATAGCGCTTGCGTTTGACTTTGGGTTTCACCTGTGAAAACTGCGATTGCTGTTCAGCAAACATGAAGACCAGAGAGTTGTCAATGGGAGAAAAGCCAACCATTTGGAAGCAGAGCGAATAGGGAAAATGGCTCAGAGTTATTGCACAAACACTAGGCATAGCCAATACAACAATTTGGAATGTCCCGAAAAAGAAAGAAACTACCGGTGTACTGAGCAAGGTCAGCCAAAGTGTATCAACCACAGTTGATGACAGAAATATTGTGAAGAAACAACCAGTCAGTGACATCACTGCCAACCTCCACAAGACAGGGGTGAAGGAAGCACAACCTGTTGAGGAGAGTCAGCTTTTCGTTTCTTTCTGGCTCTCCTTGGACACAGGTTCTTTTATCTCTCTATAAGGTGGAAGAAGACCCAACACCACGTCGTCTTTTCTGAAGTTTATCACAACGCAACACGAATTGATTCGGGCTCCTGTGAGTCTCAGATTTCATCAGGAAGCCTCGAAGAAATACAGTCTCACGTATATATAGGCATAGTGTGTTAATTATGTTAATGAGGGGCGGGCAGTCCTTCCCCTTATGTAAAAATCAGAGACAAAGAAAGGTCAATACAGTTCAGTCCTGACATGGTGACAAACTACTGACCACATCTGCTGTGCACAAATTATGAGTTTGGAGTTCCCTTCCCAGGGAACTCGACAGCCCTGAAGAACTTCACAAAGATGGAGGACCGGGGAGAAGGCCTTTTGGGGGCTGTTAAATTGCCCAAGGGCTAAAGAGGAGGAAAGCATAACACTACCCTTGTCTTGAGTGCTTCAGCAGATGTACAGGACACAGATTAGTTTCAATAGTTCTCATGGTAAGGCGAAATTCCTCAACACAACCCACTGTTTGAAGAAGACCCAAGAAAAGAAATAGACATTCCATACCACAAGATGCAAACCAATCATCAGCAAAAAGAATTAGAAGGCCGGATTGGATTTTCCAAAGAATGTACAGAGATGAGCCACAAAAGTTTTATAAGTTTTATGGACCGATGCGGCTAGGATTAACCTCTCCCAAGTGATGGTACGACCAACGTATGGAGAAAGAAAGGATCTGCTTAATCAGTGGCAACTTACAGAAAAATGCATCTAAACTCATTGGGAATAGCTTCGTCATGTAAAAAGACAATGACCCAAAAGACCCTGCCAACACAACAAAGGACTTCACCAGGGCGAAAAAGTTCAAGAGAGCGTGCATTTCACCTCCTGCAGAGAGAAACCCCGAGAAACAAACAGGAGCTGAAAGGAGCTGCAGTCAAGAGGCTTGATGCAGTTATTGCAAGTAAGGCTTATGCAAACAAACGTGAAATGTTATTCACTCTAATTTAATCATGTCTGTTCCAATACTTTTGAGAATTTGAAAAGTGGGTGGCTCTGTCCTGACTTGTTCAACTCATCTAGCTGCAAATACCAAGGAATAACAACTGGACTTCTAAACATTTGTTTTGATCTGAAACCCAAACATCTTCAGTATACCACAAAAACAAAGGAATTGACGTTGGCGTTCCAATACTTTTGGAGGGGTCTCATATTTGAGCAGAGCTGGGTGTCTGAGCTTGACCAGGATGCATTTTCAACAGTAAAACATCTTAATGTCACGAATATGAACTTCGAGAGAGTAACTTTTGGGGCGTGAAATAGGAAGTCCTCAAAGGACATTTATGGAGACAGAGAGAAAGTTGGATCAAGGATCCGAGTATAGAGGCGTAATCTATTTGTAACATTGAGCCTTTATGACACCATGTACTTCCTGAATGCTAACATAATATAAACACATTTCTCATCAACAGCCTTTGCTGCTATAAAATTAGTCATTTTCACATACCACCATGGACAGTTGTTCGATATTTTCTGTATGTGAGAAGTGTATTTGAATACCTTAAAGAGTCCCTTGTGTTTTTTGGGCAGCCTGGCAACAGCCGGTGGTGAAAAAGTAAACATTTGCGCAGTCAATCTGCTCTGTCCCGCAGATTGAAGCCCTTTGGCAAAAACAGGACAGTACAGGAGAGATTCTGGATTTATACGGTGGTTACAAAGTGCACACACTGGCCTCGTCATTTGGTACATCTGAAATATATTTATGACTAAAACATTAAAAACTAGCTCACAGTATGTACAGACTACAGGTACAGCCACAGTGATAAGCCTCTTGTTAAACGAACAGCAGCTCTCTGACAGTTTGAAAAGAAAGCATTTGAATCAAAGGCTGAATTTGAGCAAGTGTACACAAACAGGCCACAGAGAGCATCGTACGATTTATTTGGCATTGCCATTACAAGTATCTCTACTCATTCCCGCCAGATTGCATTATTTGTTCACATCCCTGTTAAACCGTATCATTAAATACAGGAAATCTCTTTCAAATCATTTTTTTCATCAAACACTAAATCTAGTTTTAAGGTCCTTCTTTGTTCCGTGAGGCACCTCTGTGCCTTTAGTCTTGTTTTGACAGTCCCTGACAGTCAGTCATACTTCTAGAGGAGATGGAGGAGATCTCTGTCCGTTTTGATGGGAGGCTGCTTTCTTCACCGAGTTGACATTTGTCTTGCGCTGAGACTTGCGGGACTTTACACTCGACTGTGGGCGGGGTTTCACGCCAGTCTGCGGGGATCAGATTCATATTCATCTTGCGTAACACAATTGTCAATCACATTCATTTAAAGGGGGAAAAAACAGCAGCAACATGGTCATGTCTTCATTGCTTTAGTGAAAGGTTAATTTGGCACCACCTAGCGGTGAAAACAAAAGTAAGCAACATGGAGACTAGATGCTTCAACCCTTCTGTCCCCTAAAAAATGTAACATCCAAGAAAGGTTTTTATAAAAAAATGTACCAACATCTTTATCGTTGGCGTGAATTTGACCCCAGCAATTTGAAAAGGGTTAGAAATCAAGTTCTTGTGTATCTGGTAAGCATATACCATGTTTGTACAAGCCTGGCAGCTTGATTCTGGCAGTCGCCTGAAACTGGCTTTGGATCTATGGCCAGTCTAGCTTATCATGCCCTACTATGTTTGTTTGTCTACTACATAAGTACCTTTTTGAACTTGAAAACCGCCCTCCCCCCCTCAAAAAAAAAAAAAAAAAAAAATGACCTCAACCAGAACAGTTGAGTAAAATGTTCACACTTTTCTAGTTTTTATACAGGTAACCCAGTATATGTTTTACCAAGTTGTCTGCATTTAAAAAGTATGATAGGTTATGGGGAAAAAAAAAACCTTCCTCAAAACTTCGCTGTTGACCAGAAAATTAAAAACATTTTAAAGAGGGGACAGATCCTACATTCTTCAAAAACAAGCAGCCAAACAGGACATGTGTTTAAAAAAATGAATACAAGCCATTGTAATTAGAAAATATTAAATGGGCAAAAAATATCCACATGTTTAGAGATTTCAAACACCGAATGGTGACAAATTGACCTCCCAGAAATAGTAAGTGGGTTAATAGGATCAAATGAACAAAAACAACTTAGGGCCATATTCTCCCTTTCGCGCACATAAGTCTTTATTTACTTTACGTGTCTGGCTTCCACAACTTTTACCTACACACATTCTCCTGTAATGACTTCTAACCCAAACACATAGGTGGCATCAAGCCAGGGAGTGTCGTCATTGAAGTCTGAGACTGGCTGTAAATCATGGCACTTGGAGTTTTCCCGAGACTTGTGAATGCCAGACAAATGTTGGCCGTCGATGAGCAACAACTAAGTAATGAACACTAGAGTGGATCTGAAAGAGACAGTAAAAAAGTCCAAGATACCTGTGGTGTGGTGGGCTGAACTGCCCCGGCAATGATTTTCTCTTTTTCCTGTTGATGGCCGCTGCCCTCTTTGGTCTTAAGAGCAACAGACAAGGGTACCAACCATAAATAAAAAAATTCCCCCCAAAAAAGAAAAAGTGTGTCCTAATAGTGGCGCGTAACTCAAGATTTAACAATGTATGATCCGTGTGGATGTTGTGGTGTCCAAAAAAAAAAAGGGAGGCGGGGGGCAGACAACATTTTTTCACATCCTGCAACACCACTCTGCAAAGTGTTGTAGTTTGGTGCATAATCCTACGTCAAAACAAATGCTTTAAATGAACTCAAATAAAGTTTGTCCTCTCTTGTAGTTTTTCCACTTTCAGAGGAAATTTCCGTTTTATCTGGTTGTGTACCTGTCGGCAGAGTGAAAGTGATAAATTATGTTTGTGAATTGGAACTGCTAAGCACGGCGTCCTTTATCATTCGAATGTAAAATGCGTATGCAGCTGACTGAAAGGCAAATCGTTTTTTTTAATGGAAATTTGATATCATGTTTACACGAGAGCCATACAGATCCCCCAGTAAGGAAATGCACGTGTGGATCTAGTGAATGAGTGTAAAGTACCAGTTTGTTGGACGTGGAAGGAGTGCAGCAAGAGTCATTGAGATCATCATGGTTCAAGCCGTTGCTTTTGGCGTCGGGTGACACTGGTGAAGCAGTCCTGGCAACACGGGAGAGGTTCTGGGTTGTTTTTAGGTCCTGGGTACCTGTCATGGATGGCAGCAGAAGATGGCCTTGAAACTGGTTCGTTTGTTTGAGGAATGTGGTGCTGTACTGACTGAGTCTCTGCGTGTTTATGATGGCCAATCTTCATTGAATTTTCAACAAAACGTCGGACAATCTGGTACATTCGAGCAGGGTCGGGAGAAGACGCTGCCCTCGTTCAGACATCTTCTGCATTCACGCTCTTCATTCATTGTGAAAGCCTCGCCACGGCAAAAGCGGCAGTCGGCTGGTGAAGCTAAAGCGGAAGCTAAAACAATTTTTGTCATCGGTTCATTCCCGAACGCATGGATTTACTTTGACGTGGTGCTTCCTGGACCCTGTCAATTTCCGCCTGGCACCGGTCGTCGGCTTTACTGTGGCTCCTCGGCTTTGCTGCCCTCCGCACTTCGACGTCGACCTCCAGCTCCCGAAGGAGCTTCCCCTGAGCTTGTCGATCAGAAGAGCCACGTAGTCCCGCTACTCCCATAAGGATCGCTTTGTTAAATGTCCGGTCATCAACTTTTATCCTGAGGGAGTCCTTTCTTTCCAATGACCTGCATTTCCTCTATCTGACGGAGACTTGGACAAGTAGTGCTGAGTGCATCTTTTTGCTGAAATTATTGCCACCTGACTGTACTTTTTTTGACTCCCGAAGGACACGGGGCCTTGGTGGTGATAGAACGGTGACTATGTATAAAAACAAGTTTAAATGTTAACGGTGTATATTCGCCACATTGATCACCGGCTTTGACGTCACCTTCTTTGAAGCGGGCCGAGGCGTCCAGTCATTTACCGACCTCCCAAATACTTTGTGTAACAGCTGTGGCTGTGTTCAGAATCACATTCAAACTCATTGAATGGGAGTCAACGCACAGTTACCACCCAGAGCCTCTGATAATTTCCAAAAAAAGTGTAGAAGTTCTAAGTAGGATGTGCAATGGATATTTTTGATTCATTTGAAGTTAAATGGCCTTACTCTTCTCCTGTTCGTGGAAGTTGTGCATCATCTCCAGTGCGTTGAGAGGCATCGCCGGCGTGCTGGTGTCACCCTGTAAACAAACTAGCTAGTGAGCACCCCTCATTCCATTCCCGTAGTGACTGCAGTCAGAAGAGTCGGTCGGGTGTCTTACTGTAATCCACGGGTTGTCTCGTAACTGATTAGCTGACATGCGGTAAGCAGGGTTTTCTTTCAGGAGGCACGTCACTACTGTTTTGGCTGTTGACAAAGTCAAGTCATTCAGGGCATTTGTCAAGCCTTGTCAATGACACAAAAGTTTCCCTCTTATTTGAACATCAATGCATTTTGCCTTTAATTTGTGAGTCTTTAGAAACGGACATTTGTGATAAAGTGTCACCTGCATTGCTGACTGTGTCCCAGATGGGTGAAGAAAATTGGACTCCTATTGTTCTAATCTCCTTAAGTCGGTTTTCTTTTGATTTGGATATAAATGGAGGCTCCCCGCACAGCCTGTTGGAGGAGACAGATGGGACTCATGTATTCATAGTCCATGGATGCATGAAGAGTGTATGCATGTGAATATTGTATATAGGTACGGCGTGCATGGACAACGTCGTGACGCAAATAGACATCATTTAAGATTGTTACTTTCTACCGTCAACAAAACACATTATATCCATGTCAGTCACCACAGGAATAAAGCAGTTGTTTTCCTACTTGCTCCAAAAGTTTCACCATGATTGTTTACCTGTGCTTGTATGTGCACCAGACATAAGGACTTATACACACGTATATGTGTGTCTAAAAACATACTTTGTCATTTACGTCTCATGTGAAAACCAGAATAAAAGCATATTTAGATTTTTGCACGCGTATACATGGCTTTTACAAACCAGAATACTGCCAATATTCGCCAATGTTCGGATTTAAAGGCTTATTGACTGCAGCTAAACATAGTAACTATATTTTGCACCATTCTGCAGGATATTCACGCATAACCTATGCCATAGATTCTCGAGACACATTTTATGTGCCTTGTTGTTGGCTGCGAGCACATGCAGGTCACAAAGAGAAAAGACGGGGGGCGGTGTCAGACGTGAGACTCAGCACGTAGACTAGAGCGCCTCATTTTCAGCCATGAGTGTTCGCACGTCAACAAGTGAAGTGCGAGGGTGAGCCGGGGTGATGGGATGGTTGGGGTGTTGTGAGGGTATGGGTATTCGGGGGGGAATCCGATGTGACAGCCAGCATGTGGACTCGGTCTTCTCGCCGGCATGGGCGGCTATAGCGCGCCTTATTGTCGGCCATAAGTGGTGAACTTCAACTCCAAATTTGGCCTGGGTTTGAATAACATCAGTCTTCACTGTGTATACTTACAAAATATACATAATGACTCCTACGCTCCACATGTCACACCAGTGTGTGTAACCACGTTGGCTCATCATTTCAGGAGCTATAATTAGGGACATGGAATTATTTGAAAATGGCAATATCACATTTACAATCCCAGCTCATTAAGTTCCAGCACAGGCCCCCCGGCGGTAGAATCAAAGACAGCTGCAGGCGTTCACGCTGCAGCTTATACCACACTTGCTATCGTCATGATGATCATCACTGTGAGGGAATGCAATTGTCATACATACCCATATAGACTGGAGTGCCACAAATGTCTGACAGAATATTATCACTTCCAACACCCAAAGTCTTCACTGATAAGCCAAAGTCTGCAACCTGGTTGGAGAAAAGCAAATCATCTCATTGTTCCATAGAGATCTGAGAAAAAAATGTTCTGTTGTCTCGTCTTTGTACGACAAGTCCAGTGTGCATTGGCCAGTTTACGCTTCCATATTGTTCGGATTATATTTGACCCTTTTTGACATTTGATCGCAGTAGAAATACCCTAAAATGCCATTCTTTTAACCTGAAATGTGACAACCTTTCTTGAAATACACAGAAATGAAAATATTTAAATGCCATTCTTTTGTACAGGTGCCGCAAAGTTTGTGTCCACTGAGGTTGTACTGGGTCAGATTTGCAGCCCCGATGAGGTGTCCAGGAATATCCAACAATATTGTAGACTGCAGCAACAACAGAAATTGGGATCCTTAGAACTTACAAACAGTTTGACTACTATGCTTCTCCTAAACTCCATTCAAATAATTACACAGTTAAAAAAAAGCCTATTCACACATAAAACGGAAGCTGGCATGAAAGCCATTTGTTTGCAGTGTTTTTTAGGTTCACAAATCAGATCATGTAACTCAAGTCGACAAAGATAACACGTCTTTCTCCCAAATTGGATATGTTTAGAAATGCTCCCTTTCAACCTGCATGGCCCGTATTGCATTGTTGGCTTGTTATGAATGCACAACATGCTGAGCTCAGCTGGTAGTTTGTTTTAAGACACTGCCTTTACTTTTGTACAGGTGTTTGACACCAGAGGGAGCCTGTCATAATGAGATCTAGTTATTGCTAAATATAGTGGAAATGGTGGGTGAAGCATATTCAAACACAGGAGGAGACAGAAGCTTTGGTGTATAGTTTTAGAATAATTGTAACCTTACCTTAATGTCAAGCCTGCCATTGTAATCATCAAGAGAATTTTTCACCAAAATATTCTCAAGTTTCAAATCCCGATGCATTATGTCTGCAAGTTGAAAGAAACATTATTATTATTACACCCACATACAGTATATAATTACTTGACATAAACATGCAATGTATCCTACCGGCCTAAAGCCACTGATTGCCTCTCAACAGTGAGGGACCACTGAGGTCAACAAACCAAATTTGACGACATACGACTAAAAGCAGTCCCTTTCACTTAAAAAAAGTTGTTTGCTGTTATTTTTTTCCGAATCCAAGCATCAGTGTGTCACAAAGCTTCACATCAATGCTTAAAGAGGTGCACTGGTTGCAAAGTATCAATGAAGAGAAACGTGTTACTTTTTTTGTGAAGGTAGGTGATGGCGTCAGCTAAGCATCCAATAATGTGTCTCGCCTCCTCCTCAGGAAAGAACTGTTTCTGCTGTAGCACTTGCTTCAGTTCACCTCCCACACACAGCTCAGTGATCAAATATGTCATCTTGGGAGGAAGCATAGATGCACCTCACGACCCAAAGTCGAAATGTATCTGAACGTCCCTGGACATGATGATAAATGCAAACAACGGCAAAGCTTACCTGGGCGGTCTCATAGATCTCCTCCAGGCGTAGTATGTGAGGGTGGTCGACTTGTTTGAGTATTTTGATTTCTTGCTCCAGCATCTTGATCTTTGTACTTCCCGGCTAATTAATTAATAAAAACACAGTAATGACCAACATTAAAATACAGTAGTGTAGTAGGTTCGAGTGAACATAAAAAATAAGGCAAAAGTATATTGAATATTATTTTAAGCCACTGCAACATTATCAATCACTAAAACGTTATTAAGACCGCTTTTAATACATAAAAATGCAATGCAAAAACACACACGCAAACATACACAAGATAAAAAGGTAATGGATCCAGTGACCTAAGGACCTGAGGCTTGTGCACACTTTGAACATTACCGCTGCACATACATTTCACGTACCACACAGGATTTAAACACTTCATGCCATTTTATGATACTCACTTCTGCCTTGCAAACCGTCTTGATGGCCCATTGGGTCTGTGTCCTAATATGTGTGGCTTCGTACACCACCCCATAACTTCCGTGGCCCAGTTTCTTTCCAAACATGTATATGTCCTTTGGGGATGAGAAAATATCCAAATTTATAATCTCCATTTGCTTCAACTCACACACGTCAAAGACAGCAAAGAACTTTTACTGTGATATTTTATTGGAATGAAGGATCATTAAACTGCTTTGGATTAATCATTAAGCAGAATTCTGTATGCGCTGTGCCAATTTAAAACGCTGACAACGTATTGGTCCCCACCACCTCCACCCTTCCCAACCCCACCACCACCACCACAATCTGCGAACTACAGAATATAGCAATTTCTATTCAAATGACAAATGATGAGTTTGCGTCTGCATTTGGTTTCAATCTCAGGTCTAATTAACTCACTCATTATCTGTGTTCACGCAAGGCTAGCCAATAGTGCTTTGTGTGTACAAGTAATGTGAGCTCCTGTATACAGCAACAAAATGAATTTTTGATACATATGGCCTGTACTGCAGATGTAAAAAGGTTGTGTGACTGTGACTGATTTATGTAAAAAAAAAAAAAAAATCTCACTTTACCTCCACGTCGCCATCCCCAACCAGACGAATGTGAGGCACGTCCCTCTCCGAGATGCCCTTAGCCGCTGTGTTTTTTCCTAAGCCACTAAATGCTGCCTCTGCCATCTAGAGACAGAAAAATAGTGCTGTTATTTTTCTTTGTCATGTCTTAATTGGTTTATAATGACTGTTTTTAGTGCTAATCAATTAAAACAAAAGTATCTGAAAAAAATAGTCAAATTGTTTTTCAAGTAGTGCTACACTGTTTAATGTTTTATATGTTTAATGTTTTTTTCCAAGGGATAATACAGAATATGGTCACCTTTTTAAAATAAAAAAATAGCCAAAATCATATTTTTGACTTTTTGCCATAAACCTCTACATTCTAAGCTAAAAAAGATCGTCCCATACTAGCCCACAAATGAAATAATTCTTATAAATAATGAGTATTTGGTTCTGTTTATTGTTTTCTGAGGAAAAGACTTTATTTTAGGCCAATAACGACATAAACTACATTGAATTGTCACAAAATGTGTTAGATCACAATACTGCCTAAAAATGATTTACCAGCATCACTACTTTGTAGACTCATCAACAACAGCAATTGCTCCTACTTATCCTACAGAGACAGTATAAATGTATCTGATGGTGGTGAATTGCTCATGTACATTTCAGATATCAAGGATGGGATGCATAGTACTATGAAACAAAATGTTGTCCTCCACTAAATTAATGAGGTTGGTCTGTAATTGGTTTTAGTGGTTCCATCAAGATTGTCATCTCAATATGATTGCAGCATGCAAGGGGGGTTGCCCTGCTGTCAAGACTTGGAATCGACTTCCTTTATCTTCAAGACACCCCAGTGGCTTTATAAGATGGGAGCCTGATCTGGTGAGTGATGTGGGAGCCAGCAAATGAGTGTAGAGCTACATTAGTTCGGTTTCTTTTGCAGCAGACACATTGCACTTTGTTCACTTATTTTCATGTGTAAAATGATGACAAACGTTGGACAATGTCTTTCAGACACTCTTTCTTCCTGCCTTGCCACAATATTTCTACACGGACTGGTGTGTGAGTATGCAAAAGCGTAGAGAAATGTTCACTGCAAATACTTTGTGCTCAAATTATTCCAGTTATTCGATTCATCATTTTAGCGGCAAAGTGAGTTTGACTGCCATCCAGCCCCCATGGATGGATGGAAACATAATCTTCAAGAGTGGTTGGTCTGTGGTAACTGTGAAAAATGCCTTGAACTGCTACAGCAGAACTTTTTGCAATGTGGTGTAAAATCACCACCTCGGAGTAAGCAAACTACATATTTAATATCTGAGAACACACTTTCTAGATCGGTTTTCAGTTCAAATGAAAAGAGTACTAACCCATGCTTTGAAAAAAGGACCTGTTCTCCGATGTATGTAACTTACAGTATGCAGGTATGTGTAGGGATTTTTTTTTCTTATCAGCTCAAACGACATTCTTGCGTTAGCTATGTTAATTAAATGAGTAACTCTGACTCAATCTCACACTTAATACCTTTAGTGTAGCTTGTCATTTTTTAATCACTCGTCTATGACCAAACTGCTGTCTCTGTCTGAGCCTATATTAACTTGAAGTGCAATTTAACCACCTTGAAAAACAGTCTCTGTAGCCAAATTAAATGTAAAGCAATTATCGAGTGATGACTGGGCGCAATGAAGTGGATCCACCATGCGCAGAGCAATTAATTATTAACAAGGAAGCTGTGTCTTTAACCTCTTCACTCTGGTGCATCATTTTAGCCCTGACAGAGCTCTAATAACAGGCCTGTCTTTCCCATTATCTCCTGTCTATTTTCACATCAAAATGATTGTGACAGCCTCTGGAAATTCCAATCAACACAATCATATCTCATTTGTGCAAGGTAGATGCGTGTGATAAGTGTATCAGCGAGGTGGTGAAAACCAGAAGAGGCAGGTTCTGGGTACTTCCGGTGTCGCTACGGATAGGGTGATGGCTCTTTTAGTCTCAGTTCCTCAGTTAAATGGGAATGGGTTGCCTATTCAGAATTATCCAATAACTGATTAAAATGCCTGAGGCAATATCCGAATGACATAACTATACAGTTTCAGATGAGCGCTAATATCACACTTAAATACACGTGATGCAACATAATAAAAAAAAAAAACTATCACATACCCCTGAGCAAAAATAATATACACAAAGAAAACAGTATTTAAAAAAAAAAAAACTTGCAATGTGTCATTTGTAGCTCTTCACAGTTCAAGTAATAAAATGGTGTTTCCTGAATTTCAATGTAATGAAGATGGCAGTAAAATTCTCTGACTCATATGATTTGTCCTTGCCTGCATGATTATATTTTATCCCTTTTTTTTTAGAAATGTCCCTAAAATTGGTGAGTTAAAATGTGTAATTTTTATTCATTTATCTCATTAAACAATTGGTTATTCAATTAATAATACATTATACACATCCTTTTCTAAACAAATAGTACATTAATACCCATCCATCCATCTTCTGATCCACTTTATCCTCACAAGGGTCACGGGGGTGCTGGAGCCTATCCCAGCGGGCAGTGGGCAGAGGACACCCTGAAACCGGTTGCCAGCCAATTGCGGGGCACACAGAGACGAACAACACCCACACCTAGGGACAATTTAGAGTGTTCAATCAGCCTGCCATGCATGATTTTTATTTTTTATTTTTTTGAATGTGGGAGGAAACCGGAGTACCCGGAGAAAACCCACGCAAGCACGGGGAGAACATGCAAACTCCACACAGGAAGGCCAGATCCGGGATCTGGTTCGATCTCTGCATGGTCAACATGCTAACCACTGGATCACCGGGTCGCCCGGTACATTAATAATAATCAAATATATTAACATTAAAATAATCATTATTGTATTATCAGTAACATTAATTAATAAATAAAGAGCGGTGTTCGGGTTTATCACTGGCTCATGAAGGCATCTTTGAAATTGAACTGTCAATCTCGTACTTTTACCTCATTTATTCAATCCGATAGGTTAATGATTTTGATAGACAGAAGCTGCGCCCAATCACGTGTTACATTTATGTTCTAAAAGATGCAGGTCGTGTCCTAGTTTATACCGGCTATTTCCCCGAGTCCAATGAACAAATGTATTTTAACTAGCCCTGACGCGATGAGTCGGGTTACAGGTGACAACAAGCTTATTTGTTCCGAGGAAGTGTCAACCTACCAGCGTTGTTCCAGCTCGTCTTTCCACTAAAACAACAACGCTAATAAGAGGACACCAAATCGATGGCATGTTTCACTCGCTTGAAGCCACATTTCTCCGCCAGCCAGCGCGAACCCGGGAAAGGCGCTCCCCCGAACAAAGGTAGCATAAAAAAAAACATAAATACATAACTTAAACACACGCGAAAGACAGCCGTGACGTCATAATCACGTTGCGTCAACAAACTGCTATTTTTGATCGTTTTGTCCTTCATGAAATACATCACGGCGAATCGGCGAGCAACTCGAGTGAAACTATACCAGCTGACTACCTAAACCAGGTAAAGTCCATTGTCACTAACTACACGCACAAACTTACACAAAATATTGTTATGACTCAGGTAATGTCAAGAGAAATCCTTTATTCAGAAAGACACCAAACCACAAGTAAACACGTCGGTGATAGTGTCAACTGTGCATGTGTATCTATTCATAGATACAGTTGGGTTGGTACCTTGACATAGGAATGTAATTAATTCAATGACCAAGCTAGTCAAATTTATCGTGTGCCAAATACATTTTCCAAATTGAAAGGAGTTGTTATTTCATTATTCTGTTCCACCTACTGAAAACATATGCTTTATAGAATTGCAACTTTGTCATTGTATGCAAAAAAAAAAAAAAAAACTGGAACATATCAATTTAAGAACATAGAAACAAGGCATGTCTGCCTCACAGTACAGAGATCATGGGCCCCGGTCATCCTGTGTGGAGTTTGCATGTTCTCTCCGTACCTGCGTGGATTTTCTCCGGGTGCTCTGTCAGGTTAATTGAACACTTGAAATTGTTCAAAGGTGTGATTGTGAGTGTGATTGGTTGTTTGTCGTGTGCAATGCGATTGGCTGGCGACCAGTTCAGGGTGTATCACACCTACTGTCCGAAGTCAGCTGGGATAGGCTCCAGCATGCTCCCAATTTTATTAGTCAGGATAAAGCGGTTCAAATAATGGAGAAACAAAACTATCTTCATAAATCAAATTCAGTTTAAGTGTAATGGCATGACAACCCATCACCATTCATTCAGTTCTGAGCTCTGCTGGCCGAAACGATATCATGAGCGCTGACCAACGTCTCCAACCTAACTAAATTGTTTCCATGGCCTTTTGACACTTTCAGACTCTGTATGAATGTGTGTGTGTGTGTGTGTGTGTGTGTGTGTGTATATATATATATATATATAAAATTGTATTAAAAAATACATTTCTGAGTCATTTTTGCAACGCTGGGACGGCACAGCTGGGTTTCCATAGCAGCCACTTTATAGCAGCGGCATTGATTTTCAAGAAAAGTCACCATGGTCTCTAGAAAAAAAAACATATAGTTGAGGAGGCATTCTATCTGCTTCAAAATATTGACGAGACTGAGTGGTCTCTGAAAGGCTCAGCTGATTCAAACAGCGAGTCTGAGCGAAAGCACCCCCCCCCCATCCCCTTTGCTTTTGAGAATTTGTGAATGCCGAATCTCAAGTATGCAGTGATTTCACTGTATAATTTCAAATATGCACTGTTCTTGCACAATCGCTCCCCTCGCGTAGGTCCAATTCCTTTACAGGATGTTTAATAAGGCATGAGGATAAGCAGTTTGGAAAATGGATGAATGGATTTACTCATGTGCCCTTTATGTATCAACCTAGTTTTATTTGATTAAAAAAAGTGTAAAAGTCGATTGTTGCAATGCTTTGTTGTTATTATTGGGCCAAAATTGACCTAAAAGTAGCAAAGAGAAGTAGAAAAAATAAATACAACTAATCATATTTGTTCCCTTTGCAGGAAAAATAAAACAGAAGCAAAGAGCAAACATCCGTGTTGCGCCAAGCAGACTCTGACTGAGCTCTGTCTCATCTCCAGTTTCGGCAGGAAGTAATTAGAGCCCATACTTCATTCAAGTCGAGTCCGTTCACTCTCCATCATCCCGTCAGACAGCAATTACTGTTTATTTACACTCTACATGGGTTGAAAAAGCATTGTGCTTGGTTCCGGCTGGTGAGTGCGGGACATTCTTGTCAAAACACACTTTGAAACAAATAGACCATGAACTTACAAAGGTTAGCCTTGATTGTCTGACTTTCTTTCCCCATCAACTCGGGAATATGAATATTTACTATAGAAGTATGTGAATGCATGTCTTTGAAAAAGTAAAAAGAAAACAAAATGCCTCTAATATGCGTTTGTCACAATTTTCCAGAAATAATAAACATACGGTGGGTATAAAAAGTCGACATACCTCTGTTTCAATGCCATGTTTTCTGACATCAAAAAATGAGACCAAGATGGATAGTTTCAAAATATTTTCCACCGATAATGTAACATAAACCCGTAAAACTCTTGATTTTTGGGGGGGTTCTTTTTTTCAAAGGCAAACTAAAACAACAACAAATGTATGTTTTTTTTGTTTTGCTTTGGGTTTTTTTTTGTCAGGGTTCGTTAAAGGTTGCAAAGACATTCACTAGACGCTTGCAAACAGTTTGAATGTTTTTCTTGTCGCCATCAAATTTTGAACATGTTCAAAAGTTCAACCTGAAGAAAAACAATGCATGATGCTCATTCTTTTGCATTAGTGACAAACATAAATTTTGTAATTACGGTGAAAAAACTTTGAAATCTTTTATCTTGGTCTCATTTTTGAACATGGGTGTGTAGAATTTTCCGATCCATTGTAATTGATCAGTCAGCGGCATGTGGAAATGAAACTTCAATCTTATACCAGCCAGGCTGACTGCATTTCAATCTCAGTCACATTATCGAGCTAACACTTTAATTATTGTACAGACTCTCTGGAGGTTTGTTTTCTTTAATAGCTGAACGCATTTGGTTCTAGCAGCACTTTGGCTGTAAAATAGCAGCCACTAAAATACAGCAGCAACATCAAACAAAGTCTCTCTTCCTAACTGCAATTAACGTGTAAGCTCAATCAATTTAGCTGGAGTCCAAAAGTTACATTTCCCAAATGTGGAACTTAATCATTTATTGACAGCTTGGCTTTGATGACAAATGATAAACTTCACAGTCCTAATGAAGCGTGGAATTACATTACCTGATGAGGCAAGAAATTGCATGTTTAGAATGCAAATATAGCACTCATCTTCGTCACCAAGTGATGAGGTGAAATCTAATATCATGCAGGCAGATTATCAAAGCTTGCCGTCTAAATCTGATACAGCGAGGACGTCACGCTGAAGCGCCGAACATCACTGAGGAAAATGTAGTGGACATTTCATTTGGTACACCAGTGTAGTCAAATTCTTCCGATGCAATAAAACAGTGCAAATTCATTTCAGTGAATTTTGCTCGCCGTAGTGAACTAGATAATAGAGGGAAACTATTACAAATAGGATCTCAGGATAATACAATCAAGTCCAACTCCACCACCATTCTTCCAAAAAGAGCCATCAAGCTTTACTGCCATGTTCACTTGTAGTTTACTGTCAACTCTAAACATCAAACAAAGAATTACTTGTTTTCTGTTTAATAGAACCACATAGCTTTGCCCAAATAAAGTCCATTTGGCTTGAACTTAGAAAACAGTACAAAACACCAGACGGGTTAACGAATAGCATCGGTGTCGTGGTGTTGAAACCCTTGAGCAACAGATATTTGAACACACATAGTGACACAACACATATACACAGACAATATAGCAACACTCACAGGTATTTATTCTTTATCCTTTACAAAAATTTACGAATATTATTGCACTGCAGCTTATTGAGTCATTTGTGAAACTAGCTGTGTGTCTGTCTATATAACACTGCCGCCAGGTGGCCAAACCACACACATTATGTTTCGTACACATGATATTCCATTGTTAATAATATATTTTTTTATAAAGTACAATATTATTGCATAACACAAATTACTTTTTTTTTTTTTTTTTTTTTTGCGGAAGCTATCACGGATTGCTGAACTTTGCATTCATTTCAATAGGGAATACTGATTTGAAATCTGAGTGTTTTGAGTAATGAGCATGGTCACAGAATAAAGTAACCTTATATTTAAAGTTAACTATACAATCATTATAATCAATCATAATTTCCCCCTTCAATGTGATGATCGAATCGGTAATCGAGTATAATTTTTTTCAAACCTTCTGATCGCTGATGGACCCCAAAAACCCTGATTGCATCAAGTCCATCCATCCATCATCTGAACCGCTTATCCTCACGAGGGTCGCGCGCGTGCTGGAGCCCAGGGACGGGGTGGCCATCTGGAATTTCAGGAAAATATGTTAGTATTCCCGAACGGCCGGTGTATTTCTGCGCATCCAAGCCGTCACCCCTTGCAACCCTTCCCATGGCCGATCATTTTTTGGCACGTAACTGCCGCTCCTTGTCGCCGACTAAGTGTCGGCACATGACGGCCGAACGATGATAACTTTTTAATGCATGATGGCTGCACCCATTCCGCCTTGCAACTCCAACCCGTCGACGATTATTTTTCAGCAAGTATTTCCGGCCTGAATTTTGTTTCCAGCATTTCCCAACTGCAGCCCATATTTTAGGGCTGGACAATGTGGCTGAAAAGTGTATCACAATGTAAGTATATCATATTGGTTAATATTGATCATGATTGATTTCAAAAATAGATATCTTTTTTTACTATTCAAAATAACTCAGATAAATGAATTAGTTTTATTTTAACATGTAATATAGAACCTTTAATTAAGAGATCAGCACAACTAGGAAAAAGTTCATGAAACTGGTCGATATAAAGACTAAATAATGCGCTTAGTAGGGCTGGGCAATGTACCTGAAAATGTTTCATACTATATGTTCCTATGTTAGTCAGCCAGTATTGATAAGTATAGATTTTTGATATCTATTTAGAAAAAGTATTACAGTGACTAAAGATGAAATTAAAACCAATTCACTCGAATCAAGATCAAATTAAATAAAGGTAAACTATTAAGAGGAAAAATAACATTCTAAATATCTGGCGGTAAAACTAATTTTCAAGGAGTGTACAGTGTTTTTATGTACACTGACACATAGTGTAATGTGCAAAGTTGCTTCTCCAGGAGTGCACCGTCAATGTTTATTTGCTGAAGACGCTACCCCAAAACAGTATTGATGATAGTTAGATTCACTGTCATTCAATGTTCATACCTTATAAGTGGAGCAAACTCATACTTGAATGCATTATGAATGACCAACTGTTTTAGGACGACGTTATCTTTTTTGCGGGCTCTTTATTTCCAGTCATGCCAAAAGTGACATTCATGTTTTACTTGCCTGATTGTGACTTGAGTGAGATGCTGAAGGTCGGGGTCTCAGAGCTGGCTAACTCCAGAGCTAGAACACATCAAAGACAAGGGACTCTTTTAATTCTACACTTCGTATCTATTCATAAGTGTTTGATCGCCTGAGTATCCACAATTTAACCTTATTCCATAGTTGTACTGAGTCGACTGGTCAAACTGTGTGCGTGTGGCCGTGCGTGTGTGCACACACTTCTTCATTTTTTTCAGCTACAGTACTTCGTGTCTTCAGTCGGCAGACGAGTAGCTCGACGACTCGGCTGCATTCAAAATCTCCTCTAAGGTGCTTGTAATTGTTGCGCAAGTCTATGCCGTCTTGAGTCTATCGCAATACATTTATATTGAATTATCATCCAGCTCAGTGTATATATTTTTTTTTTTTTTAGAACTGACCGAGGCGGGTTTTCTTCCGTCAGCGTAATCGTCACTAACTGGGTCAAGTACCGATGGACCTCTCAGTCTGTCACTGACAGACGCCCGTTTTGATGACAACTGATAGAAACACGGTCCGCCTGTGTGTTTACTCGTGGAGCTGAATACAACAGAGTTGCTTCCATTGATGATATATGGAATCGTTTTGTGCTTCCTGTACACTAAGTGGTGGTATGCACCAAAGAGCTGTAATCCACCAATAGACTAAGAAGAGGAAGAAGGCAAAGGAAAAGAAAAAGAATACGACAATGATGACTCACATTTCTTGACAGGAATAGGGAGTGTGAGTGACTTGGATTAGATTCTACCATTGGCCACAATGTGGAGCGATTCTGGATAAGGTAAGACATGAGAAAAATGTACACTAAAGCAGGTTTCAATTGTTTGACGATTTTTTTTTTTGAACAATTTAGTTTAATTACTGGTACACCTTTCAGTATTTGTGTGTAGCCTTCAGCAAGGCATATCTTGACTTTTGACTTGGCAAGATTTGTGCATTCTTCCTTGTAAAAGTCCTCCAAATGCCCATGATAGTGGAAGGACCGTCTGTGCAGTCCTTTGCAGGTCACAGCCCAGATTCTCAATTGGATTGGCCCGGCCAATTTAATAAAGACGTCTTGTTGGTTTTGATGTAGACATGCTGAAAGGGTGAATTTCCTCTTCATCTTCAGCGAAAGGATTTTGCCAAAAAGGACTACTATTTGAAAGTGTTCATAAGTGCCTCTACCACAATTAAGGCTTACGAAAAACACACAAGCATGATGCATCCCCACCACCGTACTTCTGGTGATGTGGAGTGCTCTTTTGGAACTAAACATACCGTTTGGAATTGTGGCTAAAGACTTTCAAAATCCAACATCATAAGGCCATATCAGAATCTGCCACATTCTTTTGGAAGATCTGATACATTTTGCTGAGCTTTGCAAGACATGTAGAACACAGGAGATTGTTGTCACGTGTTACACCAGTGATTTTCAAAACAGTGGTTTAACAGCCTCGGTCTTGTGGTACACAAACAAAAAATTTTGTTCTATGTAATTTGTTTACTTGATTTTTATTTATCCAAGAAGTCGAAAGTTTTTTTAGTCCAATGCAGTACATGTTTTGTGTACAGCTCAGGTGTCATTATTAATATTATAGATTTATGTATTTTATAGAACTGTTTGTTTTCCAATACTTTTATTTATGTATTCATTTAAATAAGACAATAGTACTCAATAATAATTGAAAACATACAGTAATGTCAAGAATTTAATCATTTGACCTTTTTTTTTTTTGCTTCAATTCAATGGACCATTGTGCTACTCCCTCTGGTGATCTGCAGATTAATGATGTGCAACATACAGTGGATCTCAGCTGTTCAATAAACAACATATTATCTATATTAGTCATATTAAAGGTTTATCATGCTCTTTTTTTTTTAACTTAAAACCTTTCTTTAACTGGGGTGTGTTCACTTTCTGTACCCGCCACATATTATGCTTGATGTTTTTGATGTTCAGTCAACTTGGTAAATAAGGAACACTTCATTTAGTTGTATACTATGAATATGAGAAAGTGAAGCTTAAATCTGATTCAAGAATAATTTTTTGTTTGTTTGTTTTTAACGGCTCTTACATTCAATTCCATAATATCATCTAACCCTAAGTAATGTTTTGACTTGACTTTTAGCCCCACATGACCACACTGCTAAGAAAATGAATGTAGTCTCTGAACACAACTCATTTACACCCCAACCTTTTCAAGAATTCCGTTTCTAGTAGTCATGTTTGCTAAGTGTCATCTGGCATGAAAACACGCCTTGCCAAAAGGGAAGCAAAAGATCAACTTGTGCCATTTGCTCAGAGCCCTCCACATGTTGCTGGGAGATAAGGGCCAACAAATTCAATTTTTTTTTCCCTCATTGGTTTAATCCCGGTTAAAGCCAATCTGTGCCCTCAGCCTTTGGGACGCGACGAGGGCAGACGTCTGGAGAAATGTGGGCAGTGGCAGAAACAAGTCCCAATTCCGTTGCAATGAGAAGCCAGAGAAGTCAGCACATTTCTATCAAGTCACAGCAGCAGCAGCCTGGAGCTTCTGTTATTAAAAATCATAAACTGCTCAACCCCTCTCGTACCTCAGCGAAAACACTTACACACCGTATAGTAACGTTAATCACCCAGTTTGGGGGACATGTACTTTCACCCGTTCACTCCAGCTTCGAGATAATACATATATCCTACTTTTGAGCTAATTTCTTAACGGGTGCCTTAGCTGGTACACGTCGTCATGGCAACGAGTGTGAAGCAGAACAAACGTGTGCTGTGGGCGCTTACAAGCCGCCCAAAACACAAACATATACACAAATATCGCTTTTAAAGATGACAACATTGACAGGGGGTAGTTATTAAAGACCCGATAAACGCGCCTTACCTGGTGGGACTTTTCATTTTTGAAAGACTTAAAATGAGTGACTACAGGAAAGGAAGAGGGACAAACAGCTCTCGATTCAAGCAGGCATCAAGAGACGGGTGTACAGCGCCCTCACGAGGCGTTGCACGTTACAACAAGTTCCAACGGACAGCCCCTTCTTCACTTTTGTCCTGGTCATGAGTCGCCCTCGCGCGGACGCAATTTTGACAACATATATTCAGTTGAATGTCTTTTTCTTTGCCTGTTAGAACGTTCATTCATTCATTAAATTGAAAGCATTCTGATAGAGATGACAAAATTACCCGCACGCTGTAGTTAGGTAGGTGTACAGATACGGGTGTTAAGGTAACCTAAGTCAGGGGTGGGCAAAATATGTCCTGTGGGCCACATATGGTTCCATTCTTTAATCTGTCCCGAGCGATTTTACCACAGTAGATACACACAATTTAACCTTTTTTCGCTTGTTGCTTTTGAAACAGCACTATGTTTTCAGCTTTGCCCTTAACAGCCACATTATTAAATGGGTATGAATGTCTTGGAGTAATGTTGTTATCAGAGTTTACCTGGGCCCCAGTGCTGCTTTTTAGTGCTGTGATGGTTCAATTTCTCAACCGCCGTTTAAAATAGATAAATCAAAACTATAATAAGAATAAATATATAATAATACATTTACTAGAACAAGAGGCTATATTTTGTTTATTTTCTATTTTTTTGTATTACATTTGATGTCTAATAGTATTCAAATATCATAGTGGTACACGAATTTTGGCAGTTTGATAACTTTTAATGCAGAACAACAGTAGGTTGCTCCATGTGAATGTTACTGTAAGATGTTATTGAATTCATACACTGATTAATGTTGAGTGTAAGAGCACGGTTCCATATGGGTGGTTTGCAAATTCATATTCCACTCAAAAATGCTGTTTTTTTTTTTTACACATTTAGAATTTATCATCATAATGATGACATTATGTGTGCTGCCCTAAAATGATTTAATCAAAGCATTTTGAACCAGTGCTTACAAAGATTGTGTGATGTCACTGAGCATTTATGTCTCCACTCTATTACTATGCGTTATACTGAACCATGTTGTGGTTCAGTATTTGGTCGAGAATTAAAAAGTGCATGTTTTTAAAATGACAGAATTTGGAGATCCGCACCAAATTACCTCTGACTGCAAAGTCTGAAGTCATCCAGGAGAGCTGTGTTGCTGAGCTGAAGGTACATGAATGGGACTATCCATCACGGGTGGGCAAACTTTTGTGTATGTAGGGGCTGCATTTGACCTTTAACGTGTTTATTTTTGTACTAAAATCGTAATTTTCCCCGTATTCCCCAAAACACCTTTCTGAGGTAAGTGAAAGACTCACTTGCCTATTGTATGGACCTACTTCTAGAGATCCTATGAAAAAGAACACATTTCTCATCAACAAAGTTGAGAAATGGTGTTCCTGCTTCTTGATGATCACTAATCACTACATTAACGATCAATAAATGATCGGTTGTCTCTGTAATGTTCCATCAATCCATCCCTTTTGCATAGAGTTTCCTCTCATCAGGGATTCAGGTGACCTGGAGTCTATCCTAGCATAGGAAATCACCTCGGATAATTTAGTGCGACAGTCACGGTACATCCTCAACTGGCCGCCAGACAGTCGAAGAGCACATATCGAGAAAACGCCATTTACACTTCCATTCACGCCTCGTGACCAGAAGCATGTGAGGCGCCCGCAGTGCCTGGAGAAACCTCACCAAAAGCACAGGAAGACCATGCATACACCAAACAAGAAGGCCGGAGCCCAGATTCAAACCCCAAAGCCTCAGAAATATGCCCAATCGTTCATCACTTATTCGAAATATCATAAACGCTTCTGTAATGACCTAACAATGACAGCAAACCTCCACTATTTGTGGAGGAGCTCTCCCACAAAGTACGAAAATCTGTAAGTAGTTGATCCCTCATCCAAAAATGTTTATAATTACCTCTAGTTGCCACAAGAGGGTGGAAAAGTCCCAACTTTTTGCCAGATGAAGCTCCAGATTTCACAGCAACATAGTTCCTTAAGATGCAAGATGATTGACAAAGCAATTCTACGTACGACCCGTGTGCCAGTGTTGGTCTACCAAGGAGTCCAATCTGGCATTAGCTTTCATTTTTGAATTAAAATAACCGTTGTCGCTAATTTTGTTCACCGGAGAGCGCACTAGCAACCACTCAAATGTGGATATGAGCTGTTTTTCATCATTTGAAGTCTGATCTTGATTAGTTAATGAAGGATTCCATATTTTAGGAGCAAAGTGAGCCTAAAATACTGTGCCCCATTGGCGCTGCGAAGAATACAGTTCTGTGAAAATGTATACGCCTCTCGAAATATTTTTGCAAATCATCAGTCAACAGCTTCAGTTAAAAAAGAGGTTGGTTTGATGGAACCCTTTTAATGTTTATGCACTGCCACACTTGTATGGGTTTACATGTACACATTTACAAGGCTGCGGGACAACTGCACCATCTTTCTGAAAAGTTCCCACTTGTAGTTTGTCGAGTGAGATCAGTCAGTTGAGGTTGCCACAATTTTCAGATGGAAGTGGAAATGTATGCAAATTTAAAATGGCTTTGAGATCATGAGTTGTTTTATAAATGGTAAATACAGTTTATCGATGCACTCTGATGTGAAAGTTGCACATGTGTGAATGAAAACAATGATTCGTAATATTGTTGAGATTTCATCCAATTTTATAAAGAACTTGCCGATTGTTCATATGTTTTCCAATAAGGTTCATGTCCTTATTTTGTCAGTCTGTACTTGTAATTGTTTGCGGCCCAAAAATAGGTATCGCTTGTTAAGCCACTCGATATACTGGCCTACTTGAGATCAAGTTTGGGTGAATTTATCCCCTGAGCGAAAATGCGCTTGCTAAGTATCAATTTTATTTGGTGTTTTTCTTCCACACTGAATCAAGTATTTGATTCCCCTCAGATAAAATGGGCGCCCAAGGAGACGGAGACTACAACGATCCAAATCGTAAGTGGATGAAATGTGATTTCTTTAGCATTTTGTCTCAGCAACAGTATTTTGGGTGGATTTGGTTTGTCTGGGGCAGGCCGCAGCTCTGGCCGCATAGCAAGTGGCAAAGCTAAGATGGACGCATGCATGGTAGAATCATCTCCAAGTCTTAATTATCTTGCAGGCTACCGTACGTCCATACCAGTGGGAGATCAACCGCCCACTGATGATAGTGATGATGATTTTGATGATTTTGATGTTGATGATGATAACGATGACCATGATGATGTTGGTGATGAGGAAGACATGGATTCTGTTTTCCTCATGCAATCGCCTGTCAATCATGACATGAAATTCTTTGTACACCCGCGAGCGTCACTGCAACAAGCTAACGACAATGAAAACATTGTGCGCGATATCAAGATTGAAAAGAGTAACACTGATGATCTCGTTGACCGTGAAGATGGGTCGGACGTCGCGGTCGGGCCCAAGGCCGAGTTGGGTGTCAACCAGCCAATGGAGGAGGAGGAAGAACCCCAGCCGGGACCGTCGAGGAACAGATCTCGAGATGACGAGAAGGAGGAAGACGAAATGAGGAGCAGCAGCAGATATTTCCGCTGGTGGGATGAGTTTGACAACAGCTCCGATGGCAGCACTGACTTAGATAACGACGAACAAGACTCCATCCTCGGCGGAGCAAAGAAGAGGTCACGGGATGACTTGGATGGGAATTTAAGACTGCAGGGCGACCTGTCCCTGATGACTCTGAGCGGGCATCACGTTCACAGCTCAAAGAATCCTGTGAGTGAGGAACGAGCTGCTGCCAAGGTGGGCGACTTTCATGTTGGTGCGCAAGAGACTGTGGAAGACACGCAGTCCAGAGAAAACTATGACAAAGAAAATAAGAGTGGCAAAAAACGATTCAAGAGATGAGGGATGAAGTGGCCAGAAAAAAATATATATACATATATGACTGCACATGAACAAAGTACTTTTCTCTTCATTTTAGAGTCACTTTTCTTTGAGACGGAACCGGTTTTATTTCAAAGTCGCTTTTTAAATTTTTTTTTTTTTATGAGAACTCAGCTCCATGCACTCTCACTTCATTTCAGCCACTTTTCATTGAGACAGGATTGGTTTGTTCTATGTAGTCTTTCATTTCAATTTCACTTTATTGACAGAAGACAAGACATCCTGATTTATATAGTGCTTTCACAACCGCTGCAGCTGTAACAAAGCACTTTACAAAACAGTTAACAGAAAGTAAAATAATAAAAACAACACATAACATAAAAACACGGACATTGTTCATTCATTTCACAGTCCTGTCAGTGAGACACAATTGATTTTAGTGGAACAAAAATGTGAAGGACTGGTGATAGCATGAAATTTGGTACATATACTCTTAAAATCCCACTCTTTAAAAAAATATTAATAAATACAGCCGGCCATTCAAAATTCTAAGATGAGGAATCAAGCAAATCTAAGATGTCTGGACAAATTTAGTTTTTTTCCCCTCATAACTCCTAAATCATTATTTTTAGGCCCTAAAATTGTACTAAAGTTGAAAGTAACATTTTGGTACCAAAAGTACATGTCTGTCACAGTTTTTGAGCTAACGCATAAAGGGTAAACCATTACAGACTTAGGAGCAAAAATAAATAATAGCCATAATTTTGAAAACATCTACTGTATATTTGTTTTGCATTGATCAAAATCGGTGGCATGTTGTGCGCCTGGTTAGCATATCCGCCTCACAGTGCAGAGATTGTGGGTTTGAATCCGGCCCCAGCCTTCCTGTGTGGAGTTTGCATGTTCTCCCTGTGCCTGCGTGGGTTTCTCCGGCCACGACGGTTTCCTCACAAATTCCAAAAACATGCGTGGCAGATTATTGGAACACTCTAAATTGTCCCGAAGTGTGATTGTGAGCGCGAATGGTTGTGTGCCCTACAGTTGGCTGGCAACCAGTTCAGGGTGTCCCAGGCCAACTGCCCGAAGAGAGTTGGGATAGGCTCCAGGACGCCCGCCATCCTCGTGGGGATAAAGCGGTTTGGATAATGGATGGATGGATCTGTCAAAGTCTAATACAACTTGACAATTGTGTATATTTTGGTGCAAAAAGTATGTAGCTCTTATAGTTCTTAAGATACAGCAAAAAAAGCCCTACGTGTGATGACAAAAAATGGGTGTACTGTATAATGATTTGGAAAATGCTGATTTTATGTGACACAAATATACAAAATATAACTGAGAAACTGGATGTAAACTGGTACTGTGGACATTTTGGTCTGCATCTGTTGCAGTTGTGTAGATGGCATGCAAAATGCACTTTAAGTCAATAATTAAATGTATTTTCACTTCCATTTTGGCAGTCATTTTTTTGTTGATGGAATTAGTGTTCTGCCATGCTTCATCTTTTCTCAAATGCGTCTTGACTGCAAACCTTTATTCTGGTCAAAGTTAGTACATTCTCATGTGTAGGGGATGATCCAGTTAGCAGATGATTTCACCGTTACATTCTGACATTTGTCGATAAGAGGCAGGTGTAGAAAATACAGTAGAACATGAATGCTCAAATTTTTGGTATCCGTTGCTAACGCCGGTTTACCACGAATCCATCTGACCCAAATTACAGTACTACTATTGCGCATGTTAATCAAGTGAGCAATAGAAGGCAGACGACAGCGGCTCCAGTGGGTGGCTACTGAGGCTGTTTTGAAAGAAAAACAAAGCTTTTAAAAATGGCTGACATTAACAGCAACATTGTTATTTATTTCGATTGTGATTTGATATTTGTGACTGGTCAGATATTCTTAGCCTGTATTTAGATTTGAATTACAACCTGCCAAAGTGGCTCGTGGAGTTACAGTATGCTGTCATCTGTCATGGTAGAAATTCCCCCGCATTTGGTGGTTTGGCGGGCGTTGAAGCAAAGCTCTGGCGATGAATATTTTTTTAATTGAAGTGATTATTATTGTTTTAGTCTATAATAAAAACGCTTAAAAACATTTTAAAAAATGCAAAACCTATTTTGACGGCTGTTGTATTTTACTGCCTTGATGGAGCATTGTGAGGAAAATGAAGCAGGTTAGTCCCAGTGTAGCGGAGGGGAGAAGACGGCGAGGAGAAAACACAATTTCTATCAAGTGGATACACGAAAGGCCTTTAAACCTTTTACCTTTGTGTGTAACCGACAACCGTATGAGCCCTGCTGTCAGTGTCAGCTGAGGAGGTCCCCGTACTAGTGATGTGTCGGTCACGAACGAGCCGGTACAAAGAGACGGCTCTTTGACGTGAACGATGAGAGCCGTCACCCTCTCTCAAGAGCCGGCTCTGCTTCTCTCTCTCTCTCTCTCTCTCTCTCTCTCTCTCTCTCTCTCTCTCTCTCTCTCTCTAAAAAACGCCCTACTATACATGGTCGTTTTTTTGGGCTAAAAACGCCTTACTATACATGGTCGTTTTTTTTTCACGAAAAACGCCTCACTATACATGGTCGTTTTTTTCGTCGAAAAACGCCTTCCCATACATGGTCGTTTTTTTCATCTAAATATGCCTTACTATACAACGTCGGTTTTTTCGGGTTAAAACGCCTTACTATACATGGTCGTTTTTTTGGGCTAAAAACGCCTTACTATACATGGTCATTTTTTTTTTCGACGAAAAACGCCTGACTATACATGGTCATTTTTTTCGGGTTAAAACGCCTTACGATACATGGTCGTTTTTTTGGGCTAAAAACGCCTTACTATACATGGTCGTTTTTGCTCCGCTAAAAACGCCTTAATATACATGGTCGTTTTTTTTTTCGGCTAAAAACGCCTTACTATACATGGTCGTTTTTTTCTTCGAAAAACGCCTTACTATACATGGTCATTTTTGTCAGCTTAAAACGCCTTACTATACATGGTCGTTTTTTTAGGCTAAAAACGCCTTACTATAGATGGTCGTTTTTTTTCGGCTCAAAACGCCTGACTATACATGGTCTTTTTTTTCGGGTTAAAACGCCTTACGATACATGGTCGTTTTTTTCGGCTCAAAACGCCTGACTATACATGGTCGTTTTTTTTGGGTTAAAACGCCTTACAATACATGGTCATGTTTTTCGTCTGAAAACGCCTTCCCATACATGGTCGTTTTTTTCGTCTAAAAACGCCTTACTATACATCGTCGTTTTTTTCGGGTTAAAATGCCTTACGATACATGGTCGTTTTTTTCGGCTAAAAACACCTGACTACACATGGTCGTTTTTTTCGGGTCAAAACGCCTTACTATACATGGTCGTTTTTTTCGGGTTAAAACGCCTGACTATACATGGTCGTTTTTTTCGTCGAAAAACGCCTTACTATACATGGTCGTTTTTTTCAGCTAAAAACGCCTTACTACACATCAGGGGTGTATAACATACAGCCGGAACCAGCCCGCAAAGAGGTTTGATCAGGCCTGCAGGATAATTTAAAAGTGAAAAAATGCACAAAAGACACAGACTGAATATTTTTAATAAGGTGCAATTCGTGGAATATCCGCTAGGGGGAGACACCGTTTTGATCAGAAGAAAAGACAACAGTTTTGATCAGAGAAGAAGACAACAGCAGCCTCAGTCTGTCACTGAGACAGACCCAACACAGCAGACGCTATCAAGGACATGTGAATACTTTATTCTTTACACATATAGCACTGTCCTTAGTTTGTAAGGTGTAGGCAGGGATTACATTTTCTATGCTCGTGTAAATGGTTTAAAAATTCCTTTCTTCATAAATCTCGGTTCATCTTAAAAGTGCATTACTATATTTTTCAAGACCAATTGTTCAGGTTTTGTGCCTTTGTACAGTCAGTGGGATCAGTTGCAATGCATATATGTGAATGATAAAAGTACATTGCACATTTGTCTAAGGAAATATTTG